ATGGCATGTATGCACATGTCATGTCCACTGTGATTTTAAGTTATTAATTATGTCTACACATTGATTGCTTCAGTAGTACTTCTTCAAGGTGTCAGTTACAAGTTCTACCCATCTCACCTGTTTTTTCATTGCTATTAGTATTGTTTATACTGTTATAATAACCATGAATTCAATAATGATAATATCAATAGTATTAGAGATCCCCCTTCCCCCCAAAAAAAGAAGAAAAAAAAAGAAGAGGTGACTGAGCACTTGCAAACCATCTAGGGTAAGCATAATGCAAAAAACAAAACTAAAGTAAGCATTACATGATCATCGCATCAATGGGCTAATAATACAGCTGAGGTGTATTACATATTTCGTTGAGGACAGTTAAGTGCATTTATGAAATACTAATATCTGCCATTGTATGCTACTTCATGATTCAAAAGCATTTTGATGATGTAGTTATACAGAGTGAGTGTGTGTATAAATGCCTCTCTGTCGTTGTGTACTTATGTGTGTGTGTGCGCAAATAGGTACTTGTGCATATATATCTGTACATACATTCAAGTGGAGGATTCATGTTATTCAAGACATTAAAGGGAAAAGTAGGAAGACTACAATACTGAAGGTTATTTTGCTAGATTGCTTCTTCAGGGCTTATTATAATATACCCTAGTGAAAAAGCCTTCTGTATAATTGTGTTTGCCTGTTCTTCCTTGTTATCATTTTGTTTAAAGGCACATAGATACATGCAAACATACATACATACATACATTCAACATTCACGATACGACATGCATCTTTTTATCCCCTACTCTCCCTCACCCTCTCCATCTCCACTTAATAAGTTCTCTGTGTCTTGCAGGTGCTAGATGATTTTGCTGCTAAAGTTCCTGCCCACCTATGGCCTAGCACAGAAGAATCGGCAATTCCCTACACAGAGCTGCCAGCTACCCTCACTCGCTGGCAAAATCCAAGGGAGGCCGATGCACTCACTCGCGTACAGGAGGAAGTTGAGGAAACTAAGATCATTCTGGTAAGTGCAGGAATATAAGGTCTTTGTGTATATTTCTGTATAATTTTTGAATTTCTCTCTTTCTTTCTTTGGGGTCATTATTATATATTCCGTATCCTGATATTTAGTTCTTATAAATGCAGGGAGTTTTATTTATTTATTTCATAGGGATATCTTGGGATTCTTTACAAATCCTGGGGCTGCATTTGTTACCTTGCAGTTAACTGGCTAATGTGATAATTTAAAATTCCACTAAACAGGTTAAATAACTTGACAATGGGTCTGTGTCACCAGACCAGGCTATATCACAATTTCCACATGCGTTTAAGTGCTTGAGCATAAAATTAGAAGTATGGTTAATATGTTTTCTCTGCTGTTTGTGATTTTAATTGTGCCTAATCTGATTTTTTAGTAATAGAAACTTAAAACCTATATTGAAAGTTTGTCTCTTCAATGATTGCAGACTGGATATGCAAAAGTGAATGTTTAGTGATGCAAAAGCAGGCACAACCACAGTGTCATGGATACTTGCCACCCAGCATATGGGCCCAGTGTTTCATGGTAGAAATCAATGCCACTTAGCATCATCAGGTTGTAGTGATATTTGGCTCCTATGGGCTAAAGTTATTGTAATGTTAAACCCAGTCAGAAATCTTCTTTAGACCTATAACAACATGAGACTATATATTAAATACTCAAAGTAATCTTAGGAATGGTTGTGGACGGCAACAATGTACTTGTAACAAGTGCGACCTCTTGTAATTCCTTCCAGTTCCTTCTCAAGCATAATTCACTTCAAAATCTAATGTCCTTTGCTTGAAATCTATGGAGCTCACAGTTAGTGAGATGTAGAGAGAGGGAAGACAGTGATTAGTTAAGAAGGCTCTACTTAACTAATTGCTGAGTCAGGGTATGCTACTCTTTATTTCTGCTATTTGCTCTACATACAAGAAACTTCAATGGCTGTTTCTCAAAACTGGTTTGTGCAAAAGGAAATATACTGTGAAGCTAAAGTTTGTGAGATTTACTTGGAAATTTGGAAGAAGGTTGAGCTTATTGGAGTGAATGAATGACTATTCTTAGAATTCCTAACAGTGAAAGCACTTGAGAAGTATGTAGGAATAATTGGGTTACAGGGTAGATAAAGTGATATGCCATGGTGATATTACCTGTGTGGACAATAATAATAAAAAAAAAAGTGTTGTCATCAGTTTACATAACTTGGAACTATTTACTGCTCAAATCTCAAATGGATTTGGTAAATGTTATGGCTGTTACATACCTTGGAGTTCTGTTAAGAGTGAATAAAGTCATGACCTAGAACATTTATACTCAGATATGAGAAGGACAACTAAAATGAGGCTGTAACTATAAAATTTTAGTTCCTATTTTTTAGTAATACTTTTATTTTTAGTAATACTGTAGATTTTAGATCCCAAGTATAGCCTTAACTAGTTGTATTGAAATTTTTGAAAGATCTAGTGATTTACTTTGCCTCTC